GTGATTTACCAAATCTCGACATGAAAGTTAACTGTCCTTTGTCTCACCTGTACATGCAGTATGTAGTCTGTTGACCGCTTTCTCTAAAGCTACTAGCCTAAGCGCAAAGTTTTCTGAATCGATGTTGGGTTTATATTGAGTCGTGGCTAGTGGTGTTTATTCGAGGACAGCCAGTGCCTGTGGTTCTCTAATTTCTATCTTCAATCATATTTCTGAAGGAAGTGTGTTGCATAGTAGCTACCAGCTGCGGATTAAGTTCACGGCCATCTGTTGTGATTAAACTATAAGCTTCAGGATTCTCGGGTCATTGCCATTGTGGTGAGGTGACTGGGGCAACCGTGTAATCAGCCGAAGCATAATGTCACCAGCAGATGGCTTTGCGGAGGTACCGCTATTCTTCCATGTCATCAGCATGGGTTTTTTCGTCTTTACGTAACTGCAGCTCGTGCATGCTATAAACAAAATGATTCTTTTGCCACTCTCGGTGTGGTAATCAACTGAATTATCACTGTTTCGCTGGCGTTCGCTCCTTGGAATATCCGTTGCCGATATGCTGACAAAAGCCCCGTCTAGACATCATCTGTGCATTCCAATGTTACTCATATTAGTTCGGACTCCCCGTAGTGCATCAAGGTTGGGTGTCTAGTGACGTGCATATAATTAGTTGACCTGGCCCGAAATTCGATTCGACCACAATGGAAATTCCATTTTTTCGAAACATTCTGCTGTTTTCCCTTTCAGACATTTGACAGAGATTCAGGAACATTGGTGTAAGTTTTCCCGTAATGTGGGGTGCACGGCTATCCGGGGCTTTGATGACACCATGCATGTTGAACCTGAACCCTGGCCCGTGTTGTGGCTGCAGTGGGCAAAGCTGCTTCAGTCGCACTTTGATTATATCGAGCAGCAACAGTTGCACAAGTGGATGGGTCGTTAGATAGGTTCGGTTTTTCTCGGTTTAATCGGAAGTGTAAGCGTCACCGACGTTGCATCAGTCGACACATTGTATAAGAAGGCGTGAGCGTTAGAGTCGGACATGCTTCAGTCGTTCGCTACGACGAATTCTTTCGTGGTTCCCAAGGTTTCGGGTACTGTGCAGTTGTCGGAAGACTTGGCCCTTTCTCTTAGTTTCGATCTAACAATTGGGGGAGAAGGCTGTTGTGCAAGCTGTGCCATTGTCGCCTCGGGCGAAGCAACTTTTGCATTCAGACGATGTTAAGTTTCGGTAGCTAGACTATCGTACTTCTGTGCTAATGCTAGTGCACATTTTACAAACGGAACTGTCATACACTTAGAACCCGAGTGCACGGCGTACTTTTATGTTTCTTCATTTCTGTTCAATAGACTCTGACGCACTTTGGATGGCAAAGCTTAGTGTAATGGGAATATGTCAACCGTACTTTTACTACGTTGGTACATGTATGATTAGCACAAAAGAATGCTTTTCGTGTTACAGGTGTTTTATCCATGGTAGCCGAATAGCCGTTGCCTGTTTTGCGGATTAGCAGTGCCTCACCGTCGGATAGTGTTCGGTCGCCGATCTTCAAGTCGACGTCAGATGATCAGCTCATTGTGCTTTACGTGTTGCGTCCGTGTGTTATTCGACCGTGGGTAGGGCAGCTGGTGTAGACCGTTATGGGGCTGGACAGTTTGACTCATCGCATGGACTGCAATGAGGAATGGTGAAAGTTGACGGTTGCTTCCCCCAGAAGGTTCCGCAATGGAAACGTAATTTGTTGTGTAGCTGTCACACAGTAATAGAACGAAACGAGTAAAACATTGGTGGAAAGCTGGGAGAATCCTCTGTCAAAAAAGTAAAAATTCTGGTTGTGTGCGCGATATTGTGCGTGTGAATAAGGTCGAAGAATTGCCCAAATGTGTAAATCTGGTAGAAAGCAACTCCGTTAGAATTATTCCAGCAAAAATACTTTTAGTAATTAGAGCTCGTCAAACCGAGACGAAACATTGCAAATCCAGCGGCATGCGACAAAATATTATTGCGAAAATGAAAAACATTCGGAGCGCAATATGATGCGGCCGTTGGCGACCATGCTTAACTTGCTAGTAAAAAGATGAAGGGAACTTAAGCACATAATTTTTTGATGGATGGCAGGGTTGAAGACAAGACTTAGATCGAACAAGCCGTTTACACTGCAATGCGGGATGTACTCTGCATTCCTCACTTAGAGTAGACTAATGCATCAAAAAAGTGCGCGCAGTCATCTAATCCAGGCATGTAAAACGTGCGGCCCGCAAGCCACATGCGGCATTTTGCAAGCATTCATGCTGCCCACATAAGGTATACTGAAGGTTAATCATTTAGGGAACAAAATTGTGTTTCTAATTTAAACTGGATAAAAGTGCGTCTTAATCCAACATAGTTTATCACTTCGAAATTGTTAAGCATATTGTAGTGTATTTCAAAAGCACAATATAAACATGTATGCAGGTGCGAAGAAGTAAGTTAAAACTTAAAAATAAATATAACTTTTAACAGTCCACATCGGTGCAACAAGCTTGTCCTGACCATATCCAACTGCTTGTGATTAGATTGATTGCAGCAGTTAGCATGTTATGGTCATACATATCTCACTGTGCGCTCAGTATTTGTCGGCTGAGTACGCAATGCTCGATGTGTGGCGTTAGTTGTATAAAGAATTCCAGAAAAGATTTCGTAATTTCTCGTTCTGCCAACACTAATTTTCAGCAATATGAGCACCAGTTATAACTGATGTTGCCAAGGCAGAAGAAAGCCTTAAGATGGAACTGTTAGAAATACAGTCTGATTCAACACTCAGAGAAAAGTATCGTGGGATTGGAGTATCTGGCATCTTTTCATACCTTCCTGGAAAGTATAAATGCTTCAGCAAGTTTGACACACGGATGATGGCAAAGTTTGCTTTCACCCATGTTTGGGATCCACATGCTGAGGCTAATGTTGCATTCTTGATGCTTCTTCACCGCAGTTGGGCTAAACCAACTTACACTTAAACTAAGTCTTTTTAAGCTGGACAAATTTCATTCCACTTTATTTGGTTTGTTCTGCCTACCTGAATAATATTCTATTAACTGGCCACGTTGCTTACGCTGATTGCGCTTCTCTTCGGTAACCTTGTTGCGTTTGTAGTATTTTTAACTGGCTTGTGGACATCTTTTTACTTATCGCGGATTCGTTGCTAACCATTTTACTTCATATGCTAATTTAGCGAAGAGTTATGCCACCGTATCTGTTTGCGCTATTCGATTTATTTTATTTCATCTTGTCGTTGCAAGTGATTGGCTATTGCTTGATATCCCCGGTGTGACTGCGCTTGATGTGCATGTTGACAAGGTGCCTACCTGTCTATTACCCACTACCTCGTCCATACTGGCTCCAGGAGACAGTTGGTCGTTGCTGGAGGGGACAAGGGTGCACGGTTCTTGCGGCCGTGTTAGGATCAAAGGGTAGTTCCATGCACTCAGTGTGGAGCGGACTACGGTCCAGCCACCGCCTTGTGTGCGCTTGATTCCCAAAATACGGCGTGCTTGTGTTTGCCTGTGAAGGAGTGTGGGCCGGCTCCGTTGGTGAAACATGGCTCCCATCCACAAGCCTCCCGGTCTTATTCCTTCGGGTTTACACTGGATATGGGGTGTGTGGTTGGAGCTGTGGGTGGTGCAGCGCAAGCCACCCATGATCCCTTTGTAGGCGCAGGCGTCCTGTGGCTGACCACAGTGACAGGCAAATCCGAAACCGGATGCCGCCAGGCATGTTTGTGAGCAGTTATTGTCCTCTATGAAAACAATAAAACTTTTCAGTGGGAAAGTCTGATTGAGCAAGACTTGCCGTATCTGATTAAAGTCGGAACGGCACAGTCATTTCGGCCGGATATAGAACCATGGTTATTAAAAAGAAGTGCCAAGCGTCAGGAAAATACTACAAATTTTTCATTGGAAAAGGTGGTAATTTTTATACAATGCATGCTTTGATGTTGCAAAATAGTCTATGGTGCCGATAGAAATTAATTTTGCCATTTCCTTAAACCAGTTAATTACTTACAGTCATGAATGTGTCTAACCGCACATTATTTGTCACTTTGTTAGAGTAACAAAGATATTGTATATATATATATATATATATATATATATATATCACAACATTCATTGCTCGTCGTGTAAGGCTAACACAACAACAAAAAGGTGCACATGCGGCCCTCGGGACGTCCTGAGTTTTACACTACTGTTCTAACCCACCTAGTTAAGTTGCTCCTGTAATGCCTGAGCGAGACACAAATATCCCATGAAGCAGTTACAATGATCTACTGATGTAGGTTATTAATTCTTCCATGCACAAACGTTTCTTTTCTGACTACTGCACGTTATTGTGAGTCAGCAAAGTTCATAAGGACAGCGGTTCACACCATCTGAAGGTAATTGTGGCGATAAGGACAGCGTCAATGTAGCGACAGGGTACTAAATCCTTTCCGATGCCAAATGGGTTTGCCTATTCTATATCTCACCGGACTCGCGGGGCGCAAAACTGATTTCCTGCATATCTACGAATGAGCACCTCGTGGCTTAGGGGTGGTGTGCATGGAACTCGCGTTAAAAGTCTTCGGGGCATGTTGACTTCCCTCACGTGACTAATCATCAAAACTTTTCCAGCATCTATTTGATATAAGTATCATTTCAACTCTAATTGAGTTCCCAGTAGTTCAGAACAATTTATTTGATTCCGTAAGCTTCATGTAGTTGCTTCTAGCTCACTCAGGGGACAGTAGGTTCCGGTCACATGACAGTCTTCCGCGGCGAACGCAAGGAAAGAGCTTGTGCATATTCGACAACTGGGGGAATTGAGATAGTTGATACCCAACTGAAGTATATCAAATGGGAATCGTGGCCGACGCAGCCACCGATCTCCCATCACTGGTAAAGTTATAATCCGATAGGAGAGACAGATGTGGCGATCGTGCGATATTAATGTCAAAAGCTAGTTGCATAGACTAAAAAGGAAGTTGTATTACCTGGTAAGATTGTCGAATCGGTAGCATGCAACAACCGACACAGAGTTCGGTCGATTTGAATGGGACATTGATAGCGTTCTTGGTTTAGGAGGAACTCCACTGGCGCTACCCGCTGGTAGATCACAATTTGTTGGTTCAGGAAGCACAAGCGTCGCTAGTTCGAGGGCGCTGTTGATTGTATGCGCTACTGGTCCAGGTAACCGGGCTGTGTTCCTCTCAAGACGAAGTGAATAGCCCTTGACATACGCAGATGAACCACCTTTGTCACCTTCGGTTAACTGACGTAAGCCGTATTCCGACAGTCCAGCTGTAGGTGCAGAACGACCTCGAGTGGCATAGTTTTCATTGATTTGACTGGCAATGTTAGCCACCGATTTTTGCGGATAAAAGTAGCCCAAAACTGGTCCATTACTGGTCGAAACGCAGCGTAGACCACGGTAGCTGAATTCACGTTGCCATTCAGAAATGGCATTGCTTGAGGTTAGGAATCCAGGAACAGTGTACCGGGGGGTGCTTGAAACTCCATACCGTGACAGAGTGCAAGTGCTCTTATCCAAGTTAGAAAAATCGCCACCGAAAGGGCCGGAAAAGCAAGGGGCAGGTTGATGGGCTGGACAAAGCTGTAAAAGCAAGGTCACCATGTGAAATAGGGGCAGTAAATTATTTTCGTTACTTTAGATCCATATGGATCATGGCTACATGAAACCTAGTATCACAGGCGCGCGGTTGTAAAGTAATCCTCATGTAAAATGCAGAGTGCAAGAAGGATTAAGCAAACCATGAAAGATACCGGTTTAGTTAAGGGATGTTGCTGACCAGCTAGTCGACATTTTACCACTCAAATGACATTCTAATCGTCCTGCGACCGCCTATAGCAATAATATTATACTCCTATGTACAGATCTTAATCTTGGATAAAAGTCGATCGGCTGATCCTAGAAATACCAACACAGTTGACGAATATACTCTTTGCCCATAGAAACGACTTAATCCGTCATTACTTTCCGCCCTCCAAGTTGCTCTGTGAAGTTTGGTTCGATGTATACAGTGGTCACCACTGGTGAATGCCGTGCATGCCTGAAACTTGAAGGGGGCAATTAAACTTACAGCGGAATGAATCATTGGGACTTCTAATCACAGTTTTGATCAGATCAGAAAGGCAAAAGTGCGAAAGGACTCACCTGATCGCAGCAACAGCTTAGGTCGCATCTGCCTGGTGTGACGTCGCACGGGCAAGGAGTGAGATCACTGAATGCTGGGTTTGGAAGTACAACTTCTACACCTGCAGAACAAATATTGGGAGTCAATCTGTCTCGTTTATGAAGAAAACTAACGCCAGCAACCCATAGATTTTAAAGAAGGTGCAAAGTTATTTCGGTTTAGTTTTCGTTTATCCAATTGCGGTCTAGACGCCGAGGGACATTGGATTGAATTACAATGATTTATTCGACTGTGACAATAATACTAACCAACAGTGTGGGAAAATGTAAATAAGCAAACAAAAGTGCTGACGCCATGTAAAATTCCAGTTGTCCGATAGAATGGTCCACTCGGCATAATGATAGGTCAAACATGAGAGCTCTATTACCTCTCAAATGCTGCAAATTAGACTACGCTTCAAACCACTGATGTGGCCTTTCCCAATGTCCACATCCAAGAAGGTAGCAGGCACCAGAGAATTGATCCTACCACTCTGTTACGTCATATGCCGGCTACCCTGCGACTTCGCCCACCAACAGTCTAAACAACAACAAGTCTATAAACAACAGTCCATACAATATACATCGAGCCATTCACAACTATAGAATTTAGAATTTAGAATAATAAATAGTACTAAACATACAAAACGATTTGCTAATGAATGAAAAAGAGAACAAGATTTTGCTGTTTTGCACACGCCTTTTTACTTTTTTGCAGTTATTACGAGTTTGTATTTTTGTAAACGTGAGTTCAAGCAGACTTGTGTACACCGCTTCTACTGCGATCGGCTTTGCGCCACTGCTTCCAGCGTTGTGAGCTACTGAAATTCTTCATCTTTGGGTCCCCAACTGAGGAGTCGAACAGGATTAGCGATGGCCAGGCAAGATGTCACCAATTTCATGTATTGTCGCAAGGTAGGCAATTGACCTCCATGGCTGGCATATGGAGAGTGCGACCCCACCAGGGTTCAGTAACTATCAAAAATCAGCATCAAAATCTATGGCCACCAGAGTGGCTCAAACTAACTGGGTCTCATAAGTTGTAGCTAGAAGCAGGTGACATTCTCCTTGTATTCATCGCAAAGTTATTGTCGGGCTTCGGTTTATCCGTCACAATTAGCGAACAGCCAATGAAAAGTAACTTCCGGGTAGCCAAAAGGTGACGAACTAGTCAATCTAAGGTGGCCTAGAAATGACCCCTGTGTCCTCTTACAGTTCGAGAGGTATCAATCGCTTGGTAAGTAGCCCTACTTACCAACATGGCAGAAAGCAAATCCTAGTCATTACCATTAGACTCCACCTCTTTACTGAGAAAGAAGGCCGGGAAACACGTTAAAAATGCGTCCTTCGAGGCTTAAAAAAACTACCCCTATTTGCTTAAATACGTCTGAAACAACCATCGCTAGACCGACTGGAATACTTACGGCCAGGATATTGTCGGCAATCGAAATTGTTCCGAAATCTCAGTAGGACGTCGACACTTGTGCTGGTTAGAACTTGATTGCTGCTAAAGGCAACCAGCTACTTCCACTGAGCCCAAATTCAAGGTTGGAAAGAAAGCTGTACTTACAAGGTCTCCACCGGTTGTATGCAGACCAGCTAGGCGGTTGGTCACAACCCGGGCTACACATAGTGTTTCAGCGTTAAGCTTCGTCAAAGTTCCAGAATCGACGTCAAATTTTTTAAAAGGAAAGCAACTCGATGTTGTGGTCCACTGGAACTTTATATGTGACATTATAAGTGTTGTAGCTAAGCCTGCCAGCTTAACACGCGTCACGCGTCACCCGTCACCCAAACTCACAGCACGACGGTGACCTGAGACTTTTTCGAGTTGCATTGACTTCCACCATGAAGCAGACGCTGTCCTGTTACTGACAGCTTGCCTCCGAAATGGGTGTTGTGCCATCCGTAGCTTCCAGGATTTGCCGTGGAGCGAGTACAAATAGGTAAAGCACGACTTGGAAGAATACCAGAAGGAATTCGTAGTCAGGGCCATGCTTTTATACGGGGTTCCAGAGGCTATAGGTCATAGTGAGCGCGAAATGACCACGCACGACCAGGAACAGCGGTACTACATTTGAGCGGCTCTGTTGTTGGAAAACATCAGCACAATCGATCTCAAGGCTGCGCAGGTCGACAAATTACAAAGGATGTGACCCGAGGATCGTGGATGTGGTACTCCAACCCAGAAAGACGCCAAAAAGGTACTGCAGTGCTGTTATGCGGGCCGCAGCAGCCGGCCTTCCGAGCTCCGGACCAAAAGAGCACCCAAAGCAAACACATGAGGGTAGACATCTAGTCGGACCCCTTCCAGACAACAGTTCGGATAGTTTCACTCAGCTAGCCAACAAAACTAGCAAACACCCCATAGATTAGATATAAAGAGAGGAGCATAGAGGTACTAGCGGGATCTCCTGGTCTGATACAGATAGCTTCGTCATCACCCCACCCAAGGGTGGGAGTAATTTTATACTACCGCAACCACCTTCAGTCGAACCGGTGGACGATGCGGAAACGATGGTGCAGTCTGCGACTGTGACGCAACGACACTTGTTTGGCAGCCGTTGTTTATCGTCCCCCAGTGTCCACTCCAGAGATGGGCTCCTGCCTGACAGCATTGGTAAGCGTCTTACGATGACGATACCGTCAGATTCACATCTGAGGCGACTTCAATATTCGCGATCTGTAAATTCCAGCGTCCCCAAACGATAAATCTAAGGTCAGCCCGTAAGAGCATATTGCAAGCATTCCCTCCACAGCCACGTCAATTCCACCACCAGATTCAGAGGGAAATAAACCACCTGTGGTTGATTTAGGGCTCAAGTATGAAGGGTTCATGATCCAGAATCAAAAGATGGAGAGCCCACTGGGACGCAGTGACGAAGTAACAATATTTTACGACTTTTTGTGTTATGTGGAATATCCACAAAACATATTGACTTGTTTCGGACAATTATACACTAGGACACTAATCTAACTTATTAAAGATGCTAACTGGGAGTTTTCGGACCGCTGTTCCATTGCTACTACTCGGATGGAGTTTGCTGGCAAGTTCGGTGATATGATTAAATTCGCATCGGTAAACAGGTCCCTTCGTTCTGTAAGAGCACAATCATTCATTCGGAACAGAAGCCAAAAACACATGACAGTAAGAGACGCAGCGTGACGTGTATACAGAGCAAACCCTAGCCCAGACAACTGGAGCAGTTCATCGTAATCGATGTAGCACAACTGTCCGTGAGGACAAGTTAGTACACCAACAAAGCCTAGTGGAAAGGTTTTGTGCTAACAACAAACTTCTGTACAAACATGTGAACAGCCTCCGAAATGTGAAACGTTGTGTTCCCCCACTAATATCAGCAAATGGATGGGCTCGAACCGCCGAGGAGGCAGCCAACGTTCTTCGGCCACAATATGTTCTAATATTCCGACTCAGCGCCAACATGTGTCACATATCTGACCGATTCCCTTCCACATCTGTATTTGTACATGTCACTTTTAGTTTAGCTACTGTTTTGAGAAAGCCGCTATCGTTGCGCATCCATAATTCCACCGGAGTTGACAATATTCGCACGAAAGCACTGCAGTTGGCAGCTACGAAGATGAGCCATTAGCTCGATTTTTCCAAAGATGTCTGGATGAACAGCAGGTCCCCAACATGTGGAAGCAGGATACCATTACCACGATTTTTAAGGATGGTAGCCGTTCAAAACCCGCCAGCTATCGCCCAGTGTTTCTCCTTCCGGTACTCTCAAAGGTGATGGAGTCGATCGTAGCGGAGGTACTAAAAGTATATTTCGAAAGGCTTAACGTCATAGCACCGAAGCGACACGTATTCCGTCAACATCGGTCAAGTACTATCAATCTACTGATTGCGCATGACAGCTGGACTGAAATAGCCGACAGTGGGATCAGCACTGATGCCATCTATCTCGACTTTTCTCAAGCGTTCGACCGATTAGATCAGGGCATACTTTTCGTAAAGCTGCAAGTGTGCGCAATTGGGAACCCAATTGTTGGAAGGATCGGAAATTGCTTCCTTTAGCAAAGCTTTGAGGTTCGAGCTCGGGGCTCGTTGATTGACCCTCATGATGTGGATTGTGGTGTTCTACAAGGGTCAGCGTCGAAGCCGCACTTATTCTTGGTTTTCAATAACAACTTCCCCCGTGTTATCGAGTCAAACTTCCTGCTTTTTGTCCATGACATCAAGGTTTGCCGGGTGAGCGGCTGTCAGGAAGATCATGATATGCTACAACGAGTTTTAGCCTGCACCTCTGAATGATCGAAGTCTACTTCGTTTAAGATGGACAAATACAAACTGTACACTGCGACATAATCCCACTTACAAATACAAGCTTGCAGATGACAAGTCGAAAACAGCCTCACAGGAGCGCGGCCTTTAGGTGGTGATGCAAGACGAATTCGGCTGTTTCGTGAAGCCCTTGAAGGCGTCCGAAACGGCGAACCAACATGTTGATCTTTTAAGGAGGGCGTTCGGGCGGCTCGACCCTTCCATTTTCCCTAAAATGTTCAATGCGTATGTGAGGCTGCAGGTGGAGAACGCGATTCTGGCCTGGAAACCCTGGTTAAGACGCGATGTGGTTGCACTGGATACCGCAAAGCGATGGGCAACCAAAAATGCGAAGGAAATGTTCCGCCTTCCATACCATCTGCGACTGAAAACGTTAGGAGTGTACAGCGGAAATTATCGCCGTCTACGGGCGACCTCATTCTGACGTACCAGAGGTTGATTCATGCTTGCCTCCACTTCCTGAAACTTAACCACAACACAAAACTTTAGTGGTCAACCTCTGAAAATAGCAACCCATTGCAGTCGGCAGAAATACTTTTCCTTAGAATTTTGGTCAACCGTAGAACGTTCTTTCAATTTTTATCGTTCATGCTCCCACGCTCCCGATTTTTAAAAGCGAACTGACGATGCATTGTATCATCTTCATTCCTTGATGTAAGTGCTTTTCATCCACTGACCACAAACATTATGCTCACCCAACCCTCACGAATCGGGGTGGTCAGATATACTTTTTGTAATCTGGATAATAATATGGCGTGTCCACAGATGTGC